AATAAATCTACATTTAATTCCAAAAACGAAATTGAACAATTCTGAGGCCCTATAAGGAGGCCGAAGGAACGCGCCGTTTTTTTCCATATTTTTATAATATCTACGGTCACTACTACTACTACTACTACTACTACTACTATTACTACGAATGTATAGGAAGCGCATGCAAACTTAAAAACCCAAGCGGTCTCATTTACAAGTCCATTTCAGTTTCCATATTAACATTGCGACTTTTAGACTACTAGCAAAACAAAACTCTCCATGCACGCGGGTGGCGCGCGTCACCCGCGCGCGCCGCTCGGTGACCGCCGCAGCGGGCCCACTTTCCACGACAACATGCGAGTGCTCTGCAATTGAGAAAACGTAGAAAGCGCACGTTAACTTCGAAATCCTATCGGCCACCGTTAAAGGCCAGCTTAAGTTTCCAGACCAAGATGGCGACTTTCCGAGGTCGACAATACAGAACTCTTGAAACGCGCGCGGGTGACTCGTGTCACCCGCGCGCGCCGCTCGGTGACCGATAAGAGCGTGCACGACAGCATGCGTGCTTTATATATGTGGGAAAACGTAGGAAACGCATGTAAACTTCAATATCAAAGCTGTCGCCGTGAAAAAATCGTTTTGGCCTTCAGGCCAACGTGGCGACGCGTCATGAAACACGCAATCAGGCACGCCCTGTGCTCGCGCATTGACCATCCCCCCGAGGGAGTGCTGGAGGCCTTCCGTGCCTCTCGCCCCCGCATGCCCCGCAGACCCGTCGGGGGTTCGCGAATGGTCCGCGGGGGGGTCCGCCAAGGCCTCCAGCGCAGACAAACGCACGTGCGCACACATATGTAAATATATACACATATTGTCATATTCATATTATTATTATATATATACATATATATATATATATGTTTCTATATATATATATATATTCACACCGATTCATACATACACAACACCACGGCGGCGCACCTCGCAGACATACACCTCGCGCGCCACAAACATACACACACCACACACACCGCACATACGTACACACATCGCCATCCACACCGTGCATACACACCACAATACATACACACATACATACCTGTATACATACATACATACATACATATTTACTTACTTGGAAACAAACGCGCGGGCATGGCTGCACGCATGCGTTCGTGCACGCGCGCGCGCATGCATGCATGCATGCATGCGCACTCGCACACACATGCATACAAACAGCATACACACAACACGCGGATGGGGCGGCGAGAGGGAGGGGAGGAGGACGTGGGGAGAGGAGGAGAGGGGAGGACGGATAAACCTCTGGGGGGGATCTTTTAGCAGGAGACGGGGGAGTGGAGTGTCCTCGCGCCATGGGCCCCTTTTATAACGGGGCAGCGGATCTTTGTTTCAACGTTGCACATGGATGCACGCATCCTCGTTGGTCAGTTTCATTATCGGATGTTTTGTCGTTGCGGTTGCCGTGGCGCACATGCAGCGCAGTGCCTGTTGGACAAAGTTGCATATGACTTTCGGGTGGCTGCAGAGGGAACGCGGCCTGCCACCGACTCTTCTGGCAAGGCTTGCCCCGCGGAGTCGGTGCGGAACCGCATGGCGGGCCGCCCGCTGTATCCATCCACGCTTGGCAATTGCCGCGTTGTCTTGGTTGAGGTCGCTGCAGACCTCGACGAGATGTGTAAAACCCTGGGGCTCCCCGACTATCGGGGTAACCATGGCTGTCTGCGCTGTTTTTTTCGCATAAAGAAACATTCGCAGACCTGGGTGCGCCCCTGCGCAAACGGAAGCACCAGTGGCTCTTGGACACTGCTCGGGCGTCGCTGTCCTTCCATCGGGCGAACGATGAAGACGTGGAGGAACTGCGCGACAATACTTGCATCAAGAGGAAAAAAGGCGGCGTCGTGGTCACATCCTTGACGAGGGACACGTTTCCGTTGCTGAAGCGGGGCGACCGCGTCGAGCCTGTTCTCCCAGGACAGCCAGATGTCTGGCATGGTGAAGCTTGCAGGGACTACGCGCCGAGGGATCGGCGCATGATGGTGTACAGGCGCCCTGCGAACAGCTTGCTTTTTATCAACCGACTCTTTCACGTGCCAGGCGTGCAGCCTGGCATCCCAGGCCTGACGATTGACAACTTCTTGTTTGACTCAATGCATTTTGCTGATCTGGGAATATTGCATTACTATATGGGCACAGTGATGTGGAGATTGATTGATTTAGGGTTCTTCGGCGAGTACTCGCCGAACGACCACGACGAAGTTGACAATGCAATGAACGAGGCAATGAAAAAATTGTATATTAGATTCCAAGTTCCTTCTGCGGATCGCCAGTTGGGGCTTAGCTCAAAGATGCGCGGTTCTAGAGATGACCCCCTGCTGAAATTGAAAGCTGGCAAATCACGGAAACTGCTGCCGTTCATCGTGCACCTGCTGCGGGACCAAGGCGGCCAGGAGCTGCTGGACGACGATGCCCCCGCGGAAGCCGATGGCTCCAAGTTGCTCGCCGTCGGGGCTGGACTGATGGAGTACTACGACATACTGCACGGCCAGCCCCGTAGGATGGACGAGCTGGCCGTGGTGCATTTAGAACACGTCGTGAAGAGCACGATGACTGCGTGGATTGCCTCGGGCCGCAAGGTTGTGATGAAATTCCACATATTTGCGCGGCGCATTGCCAGCCAGGCCCGGTGGGCTGGCAACCATGGCTATTCGCACAACTACAGAGGCGAAACTGAAAATTTTGGCACACGCAAGAGGTCGACGAATATAAACCGTGCGAAGTTTGCAGAGAATGCGGCAGTGAAGTGGTGCATGCAGTACCTCCTGATGCGCAAATGAGAGAAATGCCCCCAGTAGGAGGTGGAAGGATGAGAGGTAGGGAGGTGGGAAGGAAGCGAGGGGAGACCCCGACGACAGCGAGCCAGGGCCCACCCCTGCCAGGCCAGCAAGGGGCTTCTTGAGACCAACTTCGGGACTCCCTTGCGCCACCCTTGGCGCCACTCTTGTGGCTGCTCGTGGGCCCTCGCGGCTTGCTTGTTCGGCTGAGAGTGTGCGTCATTGTGCCCTCTCTTTCTGGCGCCATCTTCTGGCGTTCTTGGGGCGCCTCTCGGGTCCCTCCTATGCCTCTGCCTGGAGTCTGCTTGGGGCTCCTTGGGCCACGCTTGGGCCTCCCCTTGGAGCCTCTCTCGGGGAACTCTTTGGCTGTTCTTGGGTGCCCCTTTGGCCTTGTCTTGGGCTCCCCTTGAGGTGCGCGTGGGCTCGTTTTAGGGCTGCTCGTCCCTGGGATCTCACAATTCCTGGACTGGTCTCGCAGTTCCTGGAGTCATGTTCGGTGTGTTGCATGATTGTGTATTGGCTTGTATTGTGTTCCGTTGGGTTGCGTTCCGTTGCAGTTGTGGCCATTGGCCTACGTTGCGTTGGTTTGCATTGCAATGTAGTGTTGTGCATGTGTGTTGCTAACTTGTTCGTGTGATGCTTCTGGCCGCCATGGGCCCGCATGTGGCTTGAGTGCGTGGCAATGCGTTGCACTGCGCTGCCGCGTTGGTCGCTCCATTGCGTTCACTGGTGTGCATAGCAACGCAGTTCACATTATGCAGGTATCAGTGTCGGCAGCTCGTATATGCCCTGTCAGCGATATAGAAAGAAGAAGAGTTGTCTTCGCTCTTCGATCTGATATTTTTCGATCTGATATTCTTGGTTCAGAAGAGTTGTCGACACGCTTTTGGCGCGTCGTGGCCTCCTCGTTTGGAGTTGGCTGTTGTTGACGGGAGATTTCTTCAATAGCATGGTGTTCAGCGTTATAGATGCATGACGCGCCATGATCAACACAGTTGTGAGTAACAGCTCCAGCGGCGATGTGACCCTGTCAAGAGATGGGGCTGACTAGAGCCTCCACGCGCGAAACGCGCAAGTGGTTCTAGTGCATACGTGCAAAAAGAAGGGATGGGGGGCCTGAACTATAGAAAGAGGTACAGCGAGAAACACAATCTAAACAAGGAAACGTTCGAGAACGGTGTACGTACATAGGCCGTAGTTGTGCACATTACATATATACACATATATGTAAATATGTATGCCACTAGTTGCATGCGCGTATACATATGTATATATATATATGTATATATAATATATGTAATATATATAATATATGCACGGGTAAGTATCGAGCGAGAGGGGTGGAGAAAGAGAGAGAGAGGGAAGACGGGTCCAGGTGGCCAGAGGGCTCCACCAGGAGGCGCCGAAGAGGCCACCATCCTCCAAAAACCTATAACGGTGATCAATGTGTGTTATGTTCTCGCCTTGCCGCTTCCGATGACCATCCGAGGCACCAGGGCGGTTCCAAGATGGCCCAGGAGGACCCCAAGAGAAGCGCAAGGGAACCCCAACACGGCCCCCAAAGCGCCCTACGAAGCGATGCGTGGGGCCCCCGATGGGATAACGCTAGTTGGAGCCCACCTCTGGTGTGACCGATGCCGCCCAATATGGATCAAATAGGGCGTCCGAAGCCTCCAAGACAGCTCCAAGAGGCCACCAAGAGGCCCTAAGAGGCCCCAAGAGGCTCCACTATGGCCCTGATAGGCCCCCAAGAGGCCCCCAAGAGAATCCCAAAGCTGCCCCCAGAGGCGCACGCACACCCATTGAGGCACCTAATACGCCCAAGAGCCCCCCTGGGCCACCAAGGGGCCCACGCCCCAAGAGTTACCCCAAGAGATTCAGAGAGGCACCCCAGAGGCCTCTAGCACTGTTGCTCGCCCTCCTCCATCTTCCTCCTCGTTATCCTTCCCCTCCTCATCCTAGTCAGCATCATTTGCCTCAGCCCATCCATCCATCCTCCTTCTCCTCCTCCTCCTCCCTTCCTTGGGACCTGAAACGACGGGCCCCTGTGTGTACCGTATCAGTTTTCAGGCTAGCGTATTGTACGCAAGCTACTGCAGAAGTATCTATAGCAAGCTACAACCGACCAGCGAGCGATGGCAGCTCGCCCGCGCCTGCATATTACCGAAGGCGCCAACGGGGACTTCCCCAAGATGAGGGGCACGTCGACGCTCCAGGAGGTAGGAGACTACCAGTATGTGCTCGAGCAGGGTGCCAAGAACCTGCGAGCCTCGGCCAAGTACGCGACGGACGTGACGGGCGAGCTGAGCGACACGATCCAAGAGCTGATCCAAGTGAAGGAGGCGATCAGCATGAGCAGGATCCGCACTTCCACGTGCCAGCTGAAGAAGGATGTGGCCCTCGCGCAGAGGATCGCCTTGACGGAGACGGAAGCCATGCTGACAGAGAAGGTGAACAACATCGACCAGGCGCTGATTCACCTGCTCGAGGCTCAGGCTCGCATCAACATGTGTGCCTACGTCCAGCCCATCCTCCCGAACAAGCGTGAATACCTGAAATACCAGCTGGACGAGCGATCGCTCATCATTCGCCCTGCCCTTGACGAGAATGACCCGACTACGTGGAAGTACTACGGCTGGGAAGATATGCCGAACAACTTGCCCTGGGACCCTGAGGACCCTGAGACGTGGAAGAACTACGGCTGGATCGAGAACAACTTGCCTTGGGACCCCGAGGATGAAGAGACGTGGAAGAACTACGGCTGGCGTGACTTCAGCAAACTCAAGCCCTTGGACCCGAACGATCCGACTACGTGGGGACCGTACGGCTGGAAATTCTACAACGACGTTGCCACCAACCCAGGTACGCTCGAGCAGAAGATGGTAGAGCTGCTGACCAAGCACACCCTCGCGACGATCGAGGAGGTGGAGGTTCACCAGAACCCGACCGACAGCCCCAGCCACACTCCGCCGCTCGAGGAGTTCTTCCCTCCACGTGGCAAGAAGAATGAGGACGTATACCATTCGGCAGCCAGCTTCACCGACACGGGGGCGTCCAGCAGCACGGACTAGAGGCACAGTACACGACGGCGACATAAGAGACGGCTTTCCTTTTTTGCACGTTCATTCGATTGAACGGAGAGTCGAAACCACTCGACCGATGCACGACCTTGCCGCTCTCGCTCATGATTACTGGGCCAGGTCACGCAATATGTGCTGGATAAAACAAATACGGACAACCAGGGTACATACGATGGTGGAAAGTATACCTCAGGAGTTGCCCTTATGAGAGCCCGAGCTATACCACTACTTCCAGGGAATAGGGTGAGCTACCGTGCCAGTGCAGCCAATTAGCGATAGTTAGCGGGGGGTGGGAGGAGGAGGGGGGGGTCGAGGAGAGGAGCGAGGAGCGGTGCGGCGAGCGGCGTTCTCGAAGTTCGAGGGCCGCGGCCGCCCCCGCCCCCGCCCCCAGCTACCGCCGCTGCCGCTGCCCTCCCCTCCCCTCCCTCCCTCGCCTTGCGTCCTCCCCCTCAGGGGTCCCGTGCGCAGGGAGGTTAGATTAGGTCCTAGCTGCTGCTGCTGCCGCGGATCTCTCCCCGAGCGACTTGTCCTTGTCCTTGTCCTCCTCCCTTCCCCTCCCCTCCTCTCCCCCCTCTCCACTGCCGCCGTTCCGTCCTTTCCCTGCCTTCTCCCCTCCCCTCCTCTTCGCAGCGGCCCGAGCCAGATGAATATCTGGCTGCTGGAGTGGGAAACTGGGGAGGATGCCCTGGCGGTCGTCCTCCCTACGGAACCGCCAGGGCTCCCCCCCCCCCCAGCTGGGCTGTGCCCACCGCTCCGCCCACGCGCTTTTTCGACCTGCCCACCCTGGGGTTGCCCGCCGCGCGCCCGCCATGGGCTGCGCGGCGCGTGTGCGTGCGTGGGTTTGGTCCGTGGCCCCTGTGGTGGTTCTACCCGCCACGGGGGTCGCGCCCGCCCCACTGGTGGCTGCGGACGCCGTGCTCACCCGAGCACTTCTGGGGGCAGATCGGCACGCCCCACGCGCTCGCGCTTGTGTGGCTCGAGGCGGACGCGTGCGCCTGGGCAAACCAAAGACGCGTTGTGTTGTGGTCTTCAGTTTTTGTTGTTGTTTTTTTAATGTGTTCAATGTTATCTCATTGTTTTTGGGGGGTCCCCCTTTTCGCACGCGCATCCCAGGTACCACTACGTGTGGTACGACCAACACGAAGACTACGCAGTGCTCCGCGCAGCGTGAGGCCTTGCCCCGTGCATGCGGGGGGGCTTGCTACTTTTGCGTGTTCCTCCTCTCTCTCCCTTTTTCCTCGCCTCCCCCTCTTCCGTTTCGCGTTTCTCTTTCTGTGGCTGGCCGCTCACGAAACCACCCGTCCAGGTCCAAGGAGGGGCAGAGACGGGCTAACCCTTCCCCGACAGCCCTGGACCACCTACGCCCTAAAGAGCTCGTGGGCCGACCTACCCCTCCCACGCCCTCCGGAGGCTCCGAGGCTACTTGGGCCCGTCATTGAGTGGTCTTGGGGCATCGTGAAGCATATTGTAAGCCATATTGGGCAATATTGGAGTGTCGTGGGCCATGTTGGGGTCATCTTGGCTCATTCCTCATCCGTCTTCCGCGTCCTCCGTTTACGGGATCAACGATGATGACGGTGGTGATGCTGACGATGACTGTAAAGTTATAGCGGTGCCGATGGTGATGATAATGACGGTGATGACGAATGTGGTGATGGCGACGCTGGTAGTGATGATTGCCACGATGATGCGTGCGATGCTGATGTCAATGATGAGTACGTCGGTGATGGTGAATGTTATGCTGATGGCGGCCCTGTTGACGATGGTTAGGACGGCAAGTTTATGATTGAGATTGGGTGACAATCATGATGGCCAGGACGATGATTATGGTGATGGCCATGATTGTGATGACGGCCGTGCTGATGATGATGATGATGATGATGATGATGATGATGATGAATGTGATGATCATGGCGGTGATGCTAACGATGACGATGCCGAGAAATGACGGCAAACATAAGTGAAAAACAACGATGTCTCAGAATGTCTTTGCGTGTCTTTGGAATTCGCTTGAAATCCAATTAATTCCGCGAAACTCATGAAAACCCTGTGTAATTCGATGTAATTTACAAAAAACATAGCGCAAAATGGCGGAAGGTCGTGCACGGAAGGTGCGGAAGGTGGAGGGCGAGGGTTTGCAGCGGCACGACTGTACACATGAACCTTAAGAGGTCCGTGCGGATTCCTCGGATTGGCGCTGGAGTTCCCCGGTGGCAACTCGGGGGCCGCCCATGGCGTGCTCCGCGCGCGCGCCAGGGAGCAGGGTCCAGCGCCGATCCAAGAAACATGCGCAAACCTGTGTCAGCACCTGTGTCCCGAACAACGATGCGGGGACAAGCTGTGCCCCGCTCGTGCCAGCACAGGACCAAAGACCCGAGGAAGACGAACAGATAGGAAGAGGCGCCTCGGTGGCGCGCGCGGGGGCTGCACGGCGCGGCGACCTCGGACGGAATCCCCAGCGACCTGACCGCACGGGCCGTCACCGCACGGTGTTGGGGCACCCTGGGAACGCCAATTGCCGGAGACATCCTCGGAGAACGGCCCGCAATCCTAAACCGCGCGGCCACCCCGATCCCCCCCTGACAAACCAAGCGGCGTGGTAACCGCCCCGTGTGGGGGCCCCCGATCCTCTGGGGTGGGCAGCTGATTTGGGCGGCGCACGCAAGGGAGTAGGGGCTCCTTAATGGAAGGAGGCTGCTTCGTAGAATGCGCCTGCCGTACATCGACAACGAAAGCCCGCGCTTTCTAAGAAGCGGGGGTGCTTCTAAGAACCCCCCCCAAACCGCGATCAGTCCTTAGACCCCATCCTCGCAATAGGGGGTATGTTTTTCCCCACATTCCAAGTGGGGTTCTTGTTTTCTCTGCACACCCTCCGCGCAGGATCTCTCGTCCTCCTCACTCTCCTCTGCTCCTCTTTGCTTCCTCCTCCGCATCATCATCACCATCACCATCACTCCCCACTCATCATCATCATCATCACCACCAGCATCACCATCACCCTCGCACGATCACTCACCATCATCGGCATCGAACGATCATCATCATCATGATCATCATCATCATCATCATCACCATCATCATCATCATCATCATCATCATCATCATCATCATCATCATTTTCATTTTCATCATCATCATCATCACTACTCGCTGACTCACCCCTTCGTCCCCATCATCATCACCACCATTTACCATCATAATCGCACGATCACTCACCATCAGCACTCATCATCACCACCATCATCATCATCACGTCATCATCATCACCACCACCACCATCATCATCATCAATCATATATCATCATCAAACACCGTCGTCATCATCCCATCACCATCATCCACCAAGAGGGAGCCTCGTCTGTGAGTGAATTGTGAGCAAGTCTCAGGCGGGAGCCCCCTCCCTATGGGGCCCGCAGATCATGTTACTAATCCGAGCGGGTCATCGGATTCCTGTAGCTGTCGTCATTGTTGGGCTCCTCAGGTCTGAATTTGGAGGACGTATCAAGCGGGACCCTCGTCTGTGAGTGAATTGCGAGCAAGTCTCAGGCGGGAGCCCCCCCCCCCTATGGGGCCCGCAGATCATGTTACTAATCCGAGCGGGTCATCGGATTCCTGTAACTGTCGTCACTTTTGGGCTCCTCAGGTCTGAATTTGGAGGACGTATCAAGCGGGACCCTCGTCTGTGAGTGAATTGCGAGCAAGTTTCAGGCGGGAGCCCCCTCCCTATGGGGCCCGCAGATCATGTTACTAATCCGAGCGGGTCATCGGATTCCGGTAACTGTCGTCATTTTTGGGCCCCTCAGGTCTGAATTTGGAGGACGTATCAGGCGGGAGCCTCGTTTGTCAGTGAATTGCGAGCAAGTCTCAGGCGGGAGCCCCCTCCCTATGGGGCCCGCAGATCATGTTACTAATCCGAGCGGGTCATCGGATTCCTATAACTGTCGTCACTTTTGGGCTCCTCAGGTCTGAATTTGGAGGACGTATCAAGCGGGACCCTCGTCTGTGAGTGAATTGCGAGCAAGTCTCAGGCGGGAGTTTCCTCCCTGTGGGGCCCGCAGATCATGTTACTAATCCGAGCGGGTCATCGGA